AACATTTTTGGGCTCAGAAATCTTGTCACTGATCATGGAGGCTCCACATAATTTTGTGTGTAGGTTCACTGACTTTAAATACAGTTGATTGCTATAGAGGACTATCTACAAATGTTTAGGATTTTTCTGCATTTTATTTTAAAAACTTTAAAAATTCAGAAATCGACGTCTACCTACACTGAAGTCAACACAAGTTTTCCAGGAACTAAATCAAGAACAGCTCTTATTTCTAATCTCTCAATTCCTGACACATATATTGCTTTGATTTCTTACAGCTGTGACCTGTTTTGCTTACTTATCAATTCCTGTTTCAGTATACTCACAGATAATAGAACTATAACAACACTGCTGTTTTCCCAAGTCTAGACAAATCCCTCGTGAGCTGGGAATGAAACAAATTCTTTCTACATACATTTTCAGGGCATATTGTCTTCTCTTGAAAGTGGGACATTTGCATCAATTATTTTTGTTTTTAAAGCATCTCTTTATACCTCCCTAGAGAAGAATAAAAATTAATTGTTCTCCATGGATTTGAATACTTACAAGAACATTAAAAAAATTAACACTGCCTTTTTCTGAGAAGTCTGGAAGTTCCACAAATTACAATTTACAGAAACTGGATTGCCAAGTTTGTCTGGGTATAAATTACATTTCACAATGGCACCATCTGCTGGGAGATGAGCAAGACAGTGAAGCACGCTGGGCTTCCCTCACTGCCCTCTTTCTCAATTAAACATTGGATGACTGATATCCAACACCTCTTCCAAATGGCAACATAAATTAAACATGGAAAAATAAGTAAAGTAACCAGAAGGCTGATAATGACAGAATATCACTGAGGTTTTCACCCTGGAGCTTCTCCTTTTAATACAGCAGGAGCTAATTATTACTATTTGTTTTGACACTTCCTCACTGGTACAGTGCAACACTGAAAAGAGCAGTAGAAATCTGTCTTGACTTGTATTTCACACAGCACACTTGGAAATTCTTTCAGACAAATAAGAGAAATTCCTTCTTTTAACAATGTGAAATCAATTGGTGATTACAATGTGATCATGGTCTGTGGCAACACCTCGAACTTTCTCTGTGCCAGTGGTATGTGACTGATTCAGCTCCTCAAGGACATTTTTAGCTGCTGTCCCACTACTGGATGAACAAGTTCCTCAGTTCAGAAACACACACCACACCCTGTCACTGTCACATAGTGCCCTTTACTGGCAATGGACCAGGATTTGCTTAACATCCAGCATTTCCAGATGTAGCTGGAAAACAGCCTCAAGCTCTGCAGCAATATCCATCAGAGTATCAGCAGTGACAGAGGAGAGGTCAGTAACTTCTGGCTGCAGAGGGAATTAATCCTGGAAATATTTTTCTTTCTTTTACCATTATTTTAATATTGTTTGATGATTCCACAAGCATTATTCCACATCAGTTTCATCAGTAAAATTCAGTTGGTAGTGGCTCAATGAGCTGATCCAAGTTGACAGAAAATCTTTCGGCAGCCTGTGCAAACCAAGAGGCAGAATTGATTTGCTCCTGATCTGCTGCAGGTGCCCACACACAGCCAGCCATTGCTGCTCCTCATATAACTGATGGATAACTGCACAGAGGGGCAGGTACTCCTCAGATACACCTCAGAGTACACCAAGAATGATTGAAAAAGGCAGAAAAAATAGATATAGTCAGTCCTGGAATATATGTTCTTTTTTTAAACATTTTTTTCATTACATATGTTAAGTATTGGGGGTGGGGGGGTGGGGAGAAGTTTAACTTTTATCAGAGGTTAGGAACCAGAAAAAGTTAAAATTACACCTGTGACTAAGCTGAGTGATTTAGCTAACAGAGCACTCTATCCTGCACTCTTACAGCAATTCCTGAAAACATTTGTCTGGAACAATTTTCATGCAGTGATGTTTGAATTTATCCCAAAAGAAATGCATTATTAACCTCAGTCTTTGGTGTTTCATAATTTTTTTCTTTCTTTTTCCATTGTTGGGAGATGATTTGGAGGACAGACATACCATTTAAAAATATTTCATCTTTGGGGGATTTGGGAGCAGCTAGGTTTATTAAATTTGGTACCCAAAAGTTCCTTTCACCTGCTGACATGTTCTTTACAATCTGCAGTCAATTGAAAAGCATTCACTATGTCAAAATTTTCTTTCACAACCAGAATAAATTTAAAGCTACCTTAAATATGCACCGAAAAGAGATCCTTTCCTCTTCTTCTCTTATTTGTCCTCCAGAAAAACAATTCTCTCACAATTAAACACTATGTACTTGAAATAAACAGCAGACTTACCCCCACAGCCTTTTTGAGTAGGAGTTTGAAAATCCAGTATTGAGTAACCTGCCTATATAAGTAAAACCTTTTTGCAGACAAAACAGAAGCCTTGATTTAATTCATCACCAGACATAACTGTCAGTCCACATGATGCAGACATCCACTGCAGCGGATGCTCCTCCAGAATGCAGGACCTCTCAGGATGAGAAACTGGGACTGGGAGTAACTATATATAATAATTCTTACAACTCTGCTGAAACAAACAAATTTCCTTGGAAGCCTGTGACAGAATAAAGTTCTTACTACAGAACATTATCCCAGCATTTTCATCCTCAAGTTAAAGAACTGACCTTGCAAATGAGAGCTCGGTTTGGCTTATTCCCTTCCACCTGCTTGCTTGAGGCAGAATATTGCCACAGCACCACATGATACATATTTCCCTTTCTGATGTCTTAACTTACTTGTTTTGGCTGGATGACTTCTGTTCTGTTCTGCAATGTTCCGCTCATTATTCTTTGTCAAGTTTATTCAGTTCTCCTTACATGTATAACCACATTAATTACAGGCAGGAAAGTTGCAAATCAAAAAAAAAGGGAACTCCAAGCTCCCTTGTAAGTAAGTAAGGTACACAGTACCTTACTGCTGCTATAAAACTCTTTGTACACATGCTGAAAAAACCAACATCCTCTTAGTCCAAAGGCAATAGCCAGCTCTGCCTGAAAAACAATCGAGATGAAGGCAAACTTCTCACTTCCAAACAGAAACCAGGGCTTTGGACCAGCACTTGTCTTCCCTGGACACTCAGGCTGAGCATCCTGGGGAGAGCCTGCACACCATGAAATCTGCTGTACATGAGAGATTCTGGGGACACCTAAACTTTTTTAGAAGAAAGGTATAGCTAAATTCACGGCTCCTTTACCCACACACGAAATGAAGCAGCTTCTTAGAAAAAGCATTGGGTTGCAGGTGAGCACCAGCAGCCAGGGTTCCTGGGGACTGTTTGTGAAGGTTTCTGACAAGAGCAGGCTCCCACAACAACAAAATGCACAAACAGCCCCATCCTCCCTCCTGCAGCTGCACTTTCACACGTGCTTCCTGACAGCTGGGAAAAGATGTTCCGTTCTTGTGGTTTGCTGACAGCGTTTCCACATCAGAAATGTTTCTGAGAGGAGGGTGGAGACTGTCTCAAAAGAAATTAAAAAGAAAACAAACCCAAACAAGTAAGCCTCCAGCAAAATTTAAAAAACAAGGAGGAAGGAAGTGCACACAACATTCTTTGAGGAAATTTTGCAATGCTGCAACAGCCAAGGGTTGGGCAAGGATTCTGTATGACCCAGGGAAGGGCTGCAAGGCTTGTTTTGTTGCCTTCAGTAAGTGGAAAGAAAGAAATAAGAAACAAGACAAGGATGACTGTTAAGTCATTTTCTGTGTAAGCAATTGTACAACAGGGCCTGGAGTCCTGCAGAAGGCATTGCCCATGCACAGCTGACATTTACTTCACCCAGAGTAAAAAACATCTGCTTGCCAATCCTGTCATTATGTAGCTTTGTATTACTGATTACTTCATCAAATTAGTCATCAGGTTTGTTTATGCAGTAGTGTTGAACTCAAATTCTTTATGAGATTTGTACCTTCTAGTACAAGATCTCACTTCCTTATAGCTTAATATTTGAAGCTCAACTGAAATATTTTCTTAACAAGCTGGCTAGCTATAAATACTTATTAACATTTTAAAACGTCTATAGACTTTTTCAGACTGTTTTTAAAAAATTATATTGCTGCTAAAAACAGACCCAGTGCCACGTACATCCCTAGTCTCACTATATTATCACTTGCCCTATCTCTAGCAAATATGTGTCTCTTTGACACGCATCAGTGATCTCATTAATTCCTTTCACAGAACAGTGCTGGAAAAACTACCCAAAAGGAGAAAGGTGGGGGTTGGTCTTTCCTCCCAAGCAACAAGTGACAGGACAGGAGGAATCAGCCTCAAGTTGCACTGGAGGAGGTTTAGATTGGATATTAGGAAAAATTTCTTCATGGCAAAGGTTAGACATTGGCACAGGCTGGCCTGTGTGGAGTGGAAGTGGTAGAGTCACCTGGAGGGATTTAAAGACATGGAGATGTGGCACTTGGGGACAGGGTTTAGTGGTTGACCTGGCAGTGCTGGGGGAATGCTTTAACCTGATGCTCTTAGAGGCCTTTGCCACCCTCAGTGACTGCCGGGTTCTGAACCGCAGGGCAGGATGAATGGTCTACCACACAACTCAGGGGAGAAACTGCTGCTCACCCCAGCCATGGCTCAGGACAGCTGGACACATCTGCCTGTGTCCCAAATTGCTGCTCACCCCAGCCATGGCTCAGGACAGCTGGACACATCTGCCTGTGTCCCAAATTGCTGCTCACCCCAGCCATGGCTCAGGACAGCTGGACACATCTGCCTGTGACCCAAATTGCTGCTCACCTCAGCCATGGCTCAGGATAGCTGGACACAACATCTGCCTGCGACCCAAACGGCAGCTCCCCACTCCACTGCTCCTCTCTCTGCCCACTCCTCTGCCTGCCATAGGCTAAATGTATGTGAAATATGACAAAATTCTCCACAGAAACATGAGTAAAGATCAACACTGATTGGCACAGTTTCCGTATTTAGAACTTCCTCAAGTCCTAGAGCCACTCCTCCATCTCCTTCAGAAGAAAGATCTCTGTCATGTAACTGCACCAGCTCTCTTGCCCAGTATAACCAGAAAATGTTTTTTCTTGCAATTCTGCTGTTTTCCTACTGTAAGCTAAGGACATGTTTCTTTCATATTACAAACCTTTCTAAAGCAGAACCATTGTTTCTTGTCTGAAAGCTTTTCTTTTTCTTCTCTTAGCTCAAATGTCTCAGCAGATACAGAAAACTACTGCAAATGGCAAAGGTAGGTTCTCTTGTTGATTTTGAGGTATGTGCTGAGATTGACTGTTAGCCAAAAAATGGGGGAGGAATTTAAAAATGTCCAAAAACTTCATGTCAAATTAAATCTTTCACCTCTCTGTGCAGTGAGTCAGTTTAAAAGTTTCTATACAAAGTTAACCATCTCTTTACTGACCTGTATGTAAAGTCAAAATTGCTTTAACTTGTTAAAACATTTTTCCTCCCATGGAAATGTAATTTATTTTAGTCATGACTAGTTCAGTACCATTTTCTATGGAAAGACAGGTTTTCATTGCAAATTCATTTGTATAAGATCATGAAAGGAAACAAATTTGAGAGACCATCAAGGCCCTTACTGCTACTATCCATATGTTCTATCTACTTACACAAGCTTAGTTCTGTCTGTTAATAGACAGCCACTAATAAAATACTTTTAATAATTACTTTTAATACTAATAAAATGCCTTTGCTTTCAGGTTCATAGGCTATCTCTCAACTAATTTATAAGGTTACTTTCTCCTACAATTAATACCCCACAATATTTGATTTAATCTTTTATATTTCTATTATTTTAATTGCTGCTGTAGTTCAAAAGTATTGTTATTGGTTCATCTGAACACATCTGTGGGCTTTGTGTGGCTGTGCCTCTTTTGCATGAGCACAGGCACTTTTCATCATGTATGAAGCTGCATTCTGGTTTTGAAAAATAATTGAGTTGCCTGCTATCAGAGGTGGAAAAAGTATACTGGTCCATTTCAACATAAAAAGCATAGCTTGGTTGTCAACATATTTTGGGACAAATCTGGGGCTTTCTTGGGTCATAGGTGCAGCCAACTCACTCAGAAGTTTTTTCTTTCCAGAGATGGTGTCCAATCCCAAGCTTGTACTGGTTCAGGGGACTTTGAATGTGGTGATGAAGCAGAATGTGACCCTCTCCTGCCTCTCTGAGCCTGGATCTCCACCTGTCAGATACACACTGTTCAAGCACAACCAGCAGGTATCTGCTTCAAACAGGTCAGACTGGAGCCCTGCACTGTTCACCCTGACCATCAGCTCTGCCAGCGATGTGGGGGAATACAAGTGCAAAGCTGAGTATAACAACTCCAGCGGTGGAAAATACAGCAACAGCCTCAACTTCACCCTCCTAGGTACGTCTTGCTGTACACCTTCCCAGCACTGGTTATTGCAGGGGCACACAGCCATCTCTTTTCTTGACTGAGGAGCTGAACTTTGCTGCTGTTCTTACCTCAGGAGCTGGCAGTGCTCTCCTGCCCGGGCTCACGACCCCCCCATCCTTCATGCCCAGCTCTTTTGCCAGTGTTGTCACTTTACTCCAAGTCTTGCCTGGAGCTTGTCCTGTACTCTGTGATTCAGAATTTTCAATTTTCTTTCTACAGAGCCAATTTCCAAGCCAGTGCTGAGCTCACCCACCTCTCAGGCAAAGAAAGGCCAGAACGTGACCCTGTCCTGTTTCTCAGAGAACGGATCCCTTCCCATCACATATCTGTTCTTCAAAGGAACACAAAACATTTCTCCCCAAAAGACAATGCAGAAGAGGGAAGCAGCTGTGATTTTTCTATTTATCAATTCCCATAGTGACTTTGGAACCTATAAATGCAAAGCTAATAACAGTTTTCCCAATAATACAAAATACAGCAACAGTTTCAACTTTACAGTAGCAGGTATGAATGAAAAGAGGTTACTACTGTTGACAAACTGGGATCACACAAAATTCAGAATGTTGTAACTATGCAAGTTTTTAGCCAGATATTTTGATCTTGCAATGTGATGTTCAAAATAGAATTTTTTAAATTTAAAAAAATGATGTTTTAAAATTAATGCAAAACCATAGAATTCCATGCACCCTAGATAGCAGTAGAAGTTGAAGTAACCATGGAGGATGCCTGTAAAGACTCACTTTTGCAAGAGACCCCTGGTCCACCTTGGAGAGAGTCTGGTTTCATTTTTCTCTCTGCTCCCATGAAAGAGCTTAACTGGCACCAGCAAGCTGCCTTCCTTCTGCTGGGGCACAGAGCCCTTGGGACTCTCATGAACAGTTACACTAACCCCAGTTAATCTAAAAGCTGAAAGAAATTGCAAGTCTTGATTTCGATTTACAGAAAATACTTAAAATATGAAACAACACTTCATTGCATAAACACTTTTTTTTTTCTTCTTTTTGGCAGAAGAGAGAAGCCATTTTCAGCCCCTGATAATTTCACTTGGGCTGATCCTGCTACTACTTATAATAGGACTTGCTCTGGCAATTCCATTTTTCCTAATTCCTTTGTATAACGCAAGTGAGTTATTTGAATGTCTGTTTCTTTTTCCACAGGTCATTTATATTGTCAATATATTTCAGTATGCAAACATCACGTTTTCAGTAGAGTAGCTCCTGCTATTTTATCATATTGTTGAATCTCCTCTGAAGCAGCACCAGCAGCTTAAGATTTTGACAAGGCCAAATCTCTGAGCTGTGTTTTAGATGAAAGATCTGGGGTGGGGGAGGCAAAGCAACAACTAAAGTAATACACAAAAACACTGGAAGGAATCTGACCTCACTGGAAAGGGAAATTATTAAAATGCCCTTGGTTAAAGAATTATTTTGATTGTGAAAAAAACAGTACCTGAGATCTCCAAATATTAAAAAATAAATTGAAACTGTTTATTTCTAAGAAATATTTATATACATCTATATAAATACACACACAAAACACACGTTTTTCTTTTACAATTTGCAGAAAAATTTAAGTCTACCAGGCCCTCAATTGGCCTTACTTCAACACTGAATGCAGAGGAGTCTGAAGATGAAGTAATATACTCAGAGATTGGTAAGTTCCTGTCACCCCCTGCAGTCAGGCAGGTTTCTTCAGGTACTGGAAGGGGACACCTACTGACCCTCCTGGCAGAGGCATTATTTAAACCCCTCAGAATCCTTATCTGGCATCATCTGAGAGCCATGCAGCCAAAACTGCAGCTGGTTAAATGAACTGAGGTTTTAATAAAAAAAGGGTGTAATGGCCATTTACTAACAGGCAACAGTGAGCTATATGAAGCTGTAGCAAAATAAAACTTGCATAGCTCCTGCATTCTTTTCAAAATTGTTCAATACTTTAGTTATTTATTCAATCCTTCTTAAGTTTGGGAAGATCCAAAGTCAGTTCAAACTGAAATTATGAAGTGACAACAAGGCAGCTGACCTATGTTAAGACATTTTGGTACTTGAATTGCAGAAAGCAGACAATAATGAAGACATTACCTGACAGCCACAATGCTCTGAACTTGCACATTTCTACATTTGCCATGAATGTGAATGCCTCTTTTCAAGGGGAATAAGAACACCTCCCAACAAACCAACAGCAAAGGCATTGTTTCCAATTTCTAAATGTCCAAATGGAGTAACTGTCTCCAAACAAACCTGCCTTCCTGTTCATGCAGTAGGTAGAGCTCTCACTGCCCTGCTGGGTCAGCTCAGTGCTGTGCAGCTGCTTGTGCCAGATCTCAGCCCGCAAGGACAGTGAGAAGAGCTCTGATAAGGCCCATGGATACTCCATGATTTATATTCAGTATGGAATCTCACTGCTTTGTTTCAAAATTACAAAAAAAGTGTGATTCAAGTTGTTTGTAATTGAGTTAACTGCTGTTCATCATCTTTAAACCAGAGCCTGTTAGACCAGAAGAAGAATACATCAACTTCTCCGTTATTAGAAGAGAAGAGGAAAAAGGTGAAAACCTCAAGCTATCATATTGGAATATCTGATACACACAAATATGTTTTGAGGGGACTTTGCTGGGTGGAGGCAGGGCTTAAATACTTGCAATTGCTCATGAAATTGCTTAGTTACTATGGAAAAACTAAAACAGCTTTAAAACTGTTTTGAGGAGAGGGGAGGAAAGAAGAAAGAAAAACCCCAACAAACCATCCTATGGCAAATTCAACAGCCTCACTATGAAACCACACAGATGTTATTAGTGACCACACTGCTGATGCAATGTTAATTCTTCTGTGTAGCTGTACCAAGAAAGCAGCTATTATGTTATTCTATATATATATTCTATATATGAATTATGTTATTCTGGCTTTTAGCAGGGAAGAGGCCATGTGCTACAGTCTATTCAAAGGTCCTCATCAGAGACTGAATACCAGGTATGATTATAATTTTTTCTGATTAACTTAATCACATACTTTTAAAGAATTTTACAGCCCTCAAATGTGGTAAGTTCCAGCAAGCTGCATACAAAGATAAGATATTTAGATACCAATTTCCTGGCCTAATCACTTTGTAGAGAGACAGTGTAGCTCACTTTTGAAGCAAAATCTCTGAGCCATAATATCTATGAACTACAACTTAAGAGAAAAAGCAAACAGATAAAACTTAGAATTACATGTAAAGCTTTCACACAGATTTAAGTTCCTGAACATTTAACAATTCTGCTGAAGTAGAAACTGGATTGTTTGCAGACATAGGATAGTGAAAAGGCTTTTGTCTAGTGTAACAAAAAAAAGAAAAAACATCCCTCGGGCACTAGAGGATCTGTATTTGGCCTCTATGTACCTGCAAGGATGGCAATTTCTCAGTTCAACAGTACTTCAGCTCTCAGAGTAGATAGGATGGTAGTAGATAGCTCTCAGAGGGACAGATTGTGAAAATTAATTTTGGGACAGCTGACTTCAAAATAAATTCTGTATCCTGCTACCAGCTGTTTCTAAGATGTGGCTGGGCTGCTTTAATACCATTCCAGAGCCAGCTTATTTAGAATTCCATGAGTTCAGTAAGTCACATGATGCTAACATTGATTATATCTAGTATAAATACTCTATACTGCAACTATTATTGTTGTTACAAATAACTCATTTACAGTTAAGTGAGCACCATGTTGGTAGAAGAAGATTTTAAGGCAAGTTCTCGTGTTTCATGACACTGATGACTATCAGAGGCCATGAGCCTTGCTGCACTTTATACAGGGACTGAACCAGCTGTACTGGAAATCTAGAAAAGATCAGAAGCACGCAGTTCTGTATCTCTGCAAACTCTTGTATCTGATTTTAACCACTGTGCTTAGGTACAGGAAAAATATTATCACACATTAGTCTTTTTCCACCATTTTGTACACACAGATATTTTGTCCGCAGAAAATACTGGTTAAAAAAATATTTAAATCTGTTATTCTGTTACTCTTGGTAATGTATTTCTGAATTTTTTATGTTTATCAAGTGCAACATGAAGTAGCTTACATGTTTAAGAACTGAAGCCATGTGACTAAAATACATTCCTACAAACAGTACAAAGACACTGATGTTATTAAAATATTTAAGATTTGGAAGTCTTTAATATAAAATACCATTTTCCAACAGAGATCACAATTGTGTCAGCAATAGAGAGCAAAGCTGAATTTTTAGTTTAGGATGGAGCACTTTCAGTATGATATTAAAACCAAAGACATGAACAAGAATATGGTTAGCCTTGCTAATAAGGGACAAGTTTTTCTCTTCCCTTTTTCCAAGGCAACCTGGAAGACCCAGATTTGACAGAGAACAGATGCACCACCATGTTTTAGCAGAACTGTTTGCAGAGAAACCACTGAGTCCGTGATAATGCTGAAACCAGTTCAGGCAAAGATATCTAAGAAAATCCCTTTATTCAACAAGTTTAAGCTTACACATTTTTTGCAGATGTAACATACTTAATTAAAAAGTCCTTCAGCCTGGAAATGTGCATCATTTCCTTCATGGTGGTGTCTCTGCTTCTCAGCTGGACTACTCCATTCTCTAGAGTGCCATCACTTATCAAGACCATGAAGGGAATACTCATCTCATCGTACCTGCAGAGAGAGGAACCCACCTGTTACTGTTTTTGGTGCGTGGAAAAAATCAGATAACTTACATACAAATGACCATAAACTGTACATATTTAGTTTTGCTGTATTGCACTAAGTCTGGTGTGACACCTCCAGTTTTCTTGTTGCCATTCCTTGCTTTCCTGATTACATGTCTTCAAATTACTTAGCTGCTTTAGTATATAAAAATAATCTTATTTAGTAACCTATTAAAAGAGTATTTTTCTACAAGCAGAATTTATCTTTGTTTTACTGCACATGAACAAGAGGTTGCATCTATTTTCTCTCAGAAAAAAACATTCATCACTATGCTCAAGATGCTTTGACATGAGGAGTCATATGCCCCAATCCTCTCCTGATCAACAAATCATAATGAAGCCCCCAAATGGAATAGCTGTTTTTATATCCACAAACAGTTCATCACATCACTAATGGCAGTGGTTCCAGACTTGGAAGAACTGTCAAGTTCAAGACTAGACACAGTGGGTTGTTTGAAAGAGTGCTTAAGAATGAAACACAGAACCAGACCAGATGCAAAAATGGGGGTGAGGGTGGGAAACAGTTCTGCAAGCTTACAAGTCATCTGAAGAAATTTGTTTTTTACATGCAAGTTTTTAAAAGGCATTTTACAGTTCCAGGGAAATAACAGTAACATGGGAAAGGCTTCTATTTCACTTAATTTAAAAATTATCTGATATATGCTTTTCATAATAAAACTACTTGAATCCAAGTCTGTAGTTTGGGATCCACACCTTCAATCAGTAACTGTACACAATGACTTCCTACTGAAAAAAGGAATATTTACAGCAGTCCACAGAAAGTCATCTTTGACCTTCATAGTTTAATTTACAGAAGACTGTTTCTCCTTACTTTGTATAAAGATGTTCCAGAGACACATGCACAGTTTCCAGATAACCGGGCCATACAGAAATTCCATTTTCTGTCAGTTCATTGAACAATCCTTGGCAAACCTGTGTTCATTTAAAAACACAAGTTAAAAGACAGACTTTGAGTGATGAGACTCTATACAAAGAAACCATAAAAACTCTTAACAAGTGTGGTATTAACATTCCTAGCTGGTGTTTATTTGCTGGCTGAAATAATTTCAAATCAGAAAGCAGCCTGGCAGTTCTGTCTCCACTTCTGTTTAAAAACATGCCAGTGTAAGCTTCCTCCCTCCCACAGGGACTTTATGACTGACTTAAATGAAAACTTTTAAAATATCCTTCTGCACATGTGACTCATGCATTAAGATAATTCCAAAAGATTAAACTGAGAGGGATGGTGTTATTCATTTTCCTTAATTTTGCATGGGGCAAGCATCAGCTCTATTGTACCAAAGACAGTCGTGTGAACATGAACATGAGGTTGCATCTATTTTCTCTCAGAAAAAAACATTCATCACTATGCTCAAGATGCTTTGACATGAGGAGTCATATGCCCCAATCCACTCCTATATATCCAACCCTATTTTACCAAAGACAGTTGTGTCCACACAAGGAACTGCCTGCGTGAATTCCTTTGGCTGTGACCCACAAGCTGCAGAGTAGGAGCACCATGAACTCTGCACAACCAGGAATCTCCAGGAGTCAAAGCAGCAGCATGATTTTCCTCAACATAAACAGTGTCTGAATTGTAACACATTACATGGAGAGTCAACGCTCAAGATTGAAATACTTTCTTACAACATACCTGCCTCAGCTCTGTTGTTGGACCTTTTCCTACATCCAAGGCCACTTTAAGGGGTGCTAAGCAAGGATGAAGCTTAAGTACCTAATAAATTTACAAAAACCAACAGATTACTAAATGTATTTATCATCAAGCAATTCTAAACAGAAGTAGGAAATAGCAATTTTTTAAAATTAAATTAAGGTTTTAAACATACAAAAATTTTCTTACAGCACAAAATCTTGAATTAGAAGCAAGCTGTATTTTTGTGCAATGAGCACACAGCCCAGCTACATTCACATGGCAGAAATTAATCTATTTTGGCTGAGCTCCAGAAAAGAGATGAAGATTTGTTAGCAGAGTTCCATCATCTTGAATGGAGCCAGAGTGATGAGAGCCAGCCCAGCAGGCAGCTCCCATCCAGTCTACTGCTTGTTCTTAAAGCCCAAACAACTGCCTGGGTAACAGGCACTGACAGCCAGCACTCCAACTCCAGAAAGCAGAGTAAAAGTGGGGAGAATGATGGTCCAGATCCTACCTGCTGATCAGAGAGAAGGGTAAAACAGGAAAAGGGGACCTCGGAACGAGAAAATTTGCTTATGTGGATGACAGGGACCACAGGGGCTGTGCCATGGGGCCAGCCTGGTGCTGCCAGTGAGAGGGTTGAGTCTGCACCCATTGGAAAGGGATCAGGATGGCCATGTGGAAAAGGAAACATTGCTATGCTTGAATTTACCACATTGTCTAGGGGGGTTCTTATTTTCTGACATTTTCTACATGGACTTACCTTTCTCTGAGAATTTTTCTTTGCTGTTAATGGATTCTCAACTACCTGTAGAGAATCAAAAAGATAAGCTAACACTCCTCGGTCCAGATTCCCATTCACAGACAGAACATGAGGGATGACATTCTTCCTTCCATCTCGGCCCTGAAGAGAAAAAACCCATGTAAGAAAACATCAAAGATTGCCCCCAAAAGCTTTTTGCTTGCTTTAAATGTATAATGAGACACTGAGCTCAAGCACTCTTATTTATTGAAATACAGACATTTATTTAAAACATTACCAGCAGCCTTAGCAGTGTATCTGTGACCAGCTAAGGCTGTAACAGTGGGGAAAGCAGGTCAGGGCAGGATTAGTTTCTTGCTCTGCCACTTTGATCATAAATTTAAATCTATGGCAAACACATTTGAAACTCTGCATATTCTTTTGGAGGTTTGTAGATTACTTCCAAATGACCATGAGTCCCCACATTCTGAGAAATCCCTATGTAACCCTGTTTTGTAGAAATAAACTGCAAAAGCAGGAAAGACAGGACTGTCATGAGAAGAAGAAGGTTGAAATTTTCTAGTAAAATGCAAAGTTACTCTGGTTTTATCTGTTCAGCCTAACTCCAAACATTGCCATTTATTAGGATTGTCCCTCTTCAACAAATTCAGTAGAGAGGCTTCCCTCTAGTCCATACTTCCCTTTTCTATAAAGCCATTTTTATAACCCATTAATCTATAAAAACTTGTACATACATGAAAGTGAACAAGCTACAGCAAGAAAGAAAACCCCTCACATGTACAGGCTCTTTGTGATGCAAACTGAACAGTGCAAAACACAGTCCAAGTTTGTGTTTCCATTTATTCACAAATACAGGTAAAAGCTACACTACTGACAACAGCTGTCTTGTCAATAAGGGCTCATTTCTAATTTTGAAGAATTCCTTGCAAAAAAAAAAAAAGAAAAAAAAAAAGAAAAAAAGAAAAAAAAAAGTACCAAACACTATTTAATCAGCTTTGAAAAGGAAGGTCTGGCTGCAGAGTATCAATTGTACTGTTCTTGCAGCAAATCAATAAAAAGCCATCCACGTGCTAAGCAACTGGATCAGCAAAGAAACCATTTCTCTCACACATTACTATCTTTATCAGGAAAGATGTTTAATACAGTAAAGCTTACAAGTAATTTAGATCTCTCTCCTGGATACAGCTGTAACAGTTCAGTATCACCAAGGTTCTTCAGTGTTTCTATTGTTTCTGTCCCCCAAGGAAAGCTATAATGTAACTTAAATCCTCTTCTGCCTTCTTCATCCTGAAAGTCACTGCTGCTGAAGTTAGACGGGCCTACAGCAAACTGCAAATAAGAGGTGTAAGAGTGATCACGACTGCAAATCTCATAGAACTACATACAAGTCTGCAATGCAAACTGAAGTCTGGGTTGTTTTAGTACCATTTTCTGATTTCCAGCAAAAGGTTTTTATAAGTTAAAGCCCAAATCTCTTGGTTGTTTTATGGCATTTTCATCTCACATCACCGACAAACACAAAACATCTGCCTTTCTGCAAGTCAAGTTATAAACTAGTTATCAGTTTTGTCATCAACTTCAGTAGCTTCTCAATTTCCATGAGAAATGCACCTGGAACAGGCCAGCAATGTAAGGCCATTAAACCAACCACGGTGACTATTCCCCCCTCCGAGGCATAAAGGAGCAGGCCAAGATTCCCCATGGATATCTGCTGTTACCTTTCTCCACCACTGGAGCCTCTGGCGTAGCCAGTAATCGAGCCACTGTCCTGAAGTTCTGGGAGAACTAAACCAGGCAAGCAGAGACGTGGTCCTCTCGCCTATTCTTTAAACAACAGCAAGGGCAGCAAGTTAACACCTTGGGAAATAACAGGGGAAAAGCAAGAAACGGCATTCAAAAATAATCCAGAAGTGAAATAGTTGGTTTAGGTACGATAAGGAATTAACTCCTCTATTACTCTACCTTGTAAGGTTTTTGTTGTGTTCATTTCCTGAAACAGAATGTTCACTTTCTGGAACAGAATGAAAGCACACTCCAATCTGAGCAAGGCCACAGGGCAGTCTTTTGTTCACCAGCTCTAAGCAGCTGACATATTGCGCCAGAACACCTACAAAACACAAAGCCCTGTTTTTAGTGGCCACGGGAAAGTTTCTGATGTTTTAACTCTACCAAGAACAAATTAAGCACATATTATACACGTGTTGTTTGTACATGCAGTCCTACTATCTTTAGTAGCACTGATGCTTTGTAGACATGGGCTCAGCAGGCTGGTTCCTCGGGGCACATTGATTTTAATGTGCTTTTCCCCGAATTACAGGGAGCGTATCTGCTGTCCACCTGTGCTGGTCAGGTCCTTGAAAAGCACACATATTCACAGCCTACAGAAGGAACATTCCCACCGCACCAACGCAACTGGGAGAATCCCTTAAACGCAGCTGCTTCGCTCCCAGCAAGAAACTCGTGCGCAGGGTGCAGGCTGAGCGGAGCCGCCCGGGACCTACCGGGCAGGAGGCTCTCCCGCAGCAGCCCCGCGGCCCCCAGTACTTCTTCCAGGGCCGAGCCGCCAGGGCCCTGCCCACAGCCCTGGAGGGCTTCGCGCAGCGTCTCCGGGTGCAGCAGCCGCAGCCCCTGCGCGTCCCGCGGAGCGCCGGGCGGGCCGTGGAGCGGGGCATCCACGGGGAACACCTGCTCCCGCAGGGGCAGCGCCGAGTCCCACCACTGCGCCGCCAGGTTGGCGCGCAGCGCCGCGCCCAGCGGCCCGAAGCCGGGGTGGCGGCCGCTCAGGTAGGCGCTCCAGGGCAGCGGCCCCGCGCCGCCCCGTAGGAACAGCCGCCGCCAGCACACCTCCAGCAGCTCCGCCCCGCCCGCCGCCTCGGAAGCACCGCCGCCCTCCGAGTACGGCCGCGCCGGGCACCCGGCCGGCTCCGGGACTCGCTGCCACCTCGGCTGTGCCAGGGCGGCGCGGCCGCACCAGCGGCAGCCTTGGCGGGAGCCCAGCGCCATCTTGCCGCTCCCTCACGGCGGGGCTGAAAGCGGAGGGGGGGAAGTTGGGGCAGCTACTGCGCACGCGCAGCTCCCCCCGGGGAGCGGTGGGCGTGTGTGGCGGCCGCGCTTGCGCAGTGGAACCATCGCGGCCTCGCCGCGGCCGCGGGCCGAAGGTCAGGGACCGTCCGAGGTGAATTTCCTGTCCCCAGGCTCAATCTTCTCACCTTTTGTAACCGTAATGATGCCGTCAGATAACTTCTGCTGAAGGAACTGACTCTAAAGGAGCTGAATTTTCTCGCCTTTTGTAAACATAACTAATGCTGTCAGGGAACTTCTACAATGGAAGTTGCTTAATAAAGAACTCGTTTCAAGTATTGGGTAAGATCACATCACACAAATAAACATACACTGGGTAGGCGGAGAATGTGCATTAGATAGGTGGGTTCATGTACATTTTTTTGTAAAAAAGATGTAACTTTTTACGCCTTGGTGTGCTCAACCTTGAGCCCCGCACAGAATAAAGAATGTCACTTTTATAAACCAAACTCGTCTCGAGAGCTCCCAACATCGGCAATAAGGCCACACGTGCCGGGGTCACGCCTGGCCTGCCCCTATGGGACAGGGACGTCCAGAGCCCGGCAGCACCGGGCACTGGGAGGGGGACAACGGGACAGACCCTGCCCTTGCTGGCACCGGAACACGCTGCAGCTGCACGGGGACATTCCTGGGAAAAGCCCCTCTGGCGCCCACCGCGGGGACAGCAGCACGCCCGAAGCACATCGAGGCAGCAGGCAGAGCGCGGGCGGAGGCGGCACCGCTGCCAAGGGCGCGGGCGAGGCCCCGGCTCCCCGCGGCCGCTCGGCGCGGCGCAGGCAGCGCAGTGGAAATTTCCACAGCCGCCGCAGCCCGAGCTGGCGGCGGGGCGCGGAGGCGGGGCCGAGCGGGAGCCATTCCGCGAGCCGCAGGAGCGGGGCTCGGCGGGATAATCCCCGCGCCGGAGCGGCGGCGCAGCCCCCTCCCCCGGGCTGACAGCCGCTTTAGTAGGGCACTGGGTCAGCGGCAGGAGCTGCTACTCCCGCCTCAACAAGAACTGCAGGCAAGTTAAGTTCGAAGGCAGATTTGCCATGAGCTCAATTCTGCCAGAGTAGCACTGGCAGTAATGTCAAAGCTGCTTAGAGCTCGTTTCTTTCCATTATTTTATGTGCAAATGTCGTATTTTCCCCCTCAGGAAACACTGCCCCATGCAAAGGGTCGTTTGGAAAGAGTTATAAAATACAGGGAGGAAACGTCTTTCTGCAGTTCAGATTTTACACCACTATTAAAGACTCTCATATCTCAATTTTAATGCACAAGCTATAAATGAACCTTTTTTTTTTTTTTTTTTTTTAAATACTAAAAACCCACAACTTTACAAAACCAGCTTTTCAAAGCATTTTGTTTCAGGCCACTGACATGGAAACTTAGGAGTTAAGTCATACTTCAGTAATAAATAATCTACTTCCTTGTTTTTCACCCCTGGTGACACCAAGCAGTGTTCCAAAACAAATAAATGAGAGAAAAACCCCACCCCGACTTCACCCCCCCCAGCCCAAAAAAAAAAAAAAAACCAAAATAAAATACATTGCCACCTGCAGTTTTAGACTGCAGTGGGGTAGTTCCAAGCCTCCAGCTGGAGTTCTCAAAGCGAGAGTGAAGGATCACAAATATGTCAAGTGATAGAACTTCACAGAAAATGAGGAAATATAAGAGGCAGACTAGGCTGCATTAGAGAACATCACAAGCTGAGCCTCAGAGGGAAACAAGGACAAGTAATCAAGGACTGAGCAAAAAGATCTAAGTGCAAAACAAAGTTAACTCAGGTTCAAAATAACATAAAAAGAATCTTGTAGATTCAACCTTGAACACATTAAGTGTTGTTAAACTTAAAACTCACTGTTACTGATGAACAAGGAACTGAAAATCAGTATCAAACTGGAATTTAATACACCATACTTGAAAGCATAAAGCACTTTAACCCCAGGATCAAGAATTATGCTGTTCTTTCACTCAGCATGGGCAGTGCTTTAAGATTAGGGAGTCATTTGCACATATTAAAAGCCCTTAAAAAAAACCAAAACCACGAGACCATGAAGCATTGTCATGGATCAACAGCCCACTTCCCCTCCCACCACCTCCATAAAGAAATCACTGCTCAATACCAGTGTAAGTATAATTTGAAGTTTTAATACTAAGATCTTCCCGTTTCTCTGAAGCTCAGAAGCCTGCATGCTAACTCACAACGCCTGCAGCTGTGGGTACACAACACTCAAGCCTGGTCTGCACATATGCTCGTGTGAAGGCGACGGTTACGGTGCTGCAGAAGCTTCCTACGCTTGTAGCAGCTTGTTAGCAACACCACTACAGAGTTTTGATCTTTTCCAAGAACTGGCCCTATGCTAGTGAGACAAGGAAGAACACTGCTTCCAATACTTTCTTGGAAGCCAGCTTTAATTTTCTTCCCCATCAAAGCAGAGCCTGCCATGCTAAGCAATCTAGCCCAATCAAGGCAAGGCTGGTATTTGTATAAGCTTAAATGTTTAATCAGACACAGTTGAGAAACCTTTCTAGAATTTAATATAAAAACATTTGACATATCATTAATGTAAAGTTGTGCACATGTTGAGAAAATTGTCATCTGAAAGAAAAATCGGTCTTCAAATATCTTTATTGGAAGGCCATGCACTGCCTTCTGTTACTGTATTTCAAATCACTGTACATTTACTTTGAAAACACTGTCTGCATTTTCTAGTACAAAAAACTAAAAATTGTTTCAGGAATGTAGAGAAATATTCAACTTAAATAGCGAAAAAGTGCACCATAATTACTGCTGCACTGCAGTCATTTCTGCATTTCCCATTTCTTAAATAACTATCCTGTTTTGATAACACACAATATAAAGAGCAATTATGAAAAACTGAGACATTTAAATACACTAAGTTATTGAGAATAACTTGTGGGCATGGGGTAACCTATCATAGGAGCAGCACCAGTGGCAGGGTAGGCGTACTGCTGCTGGTTCATGCCATTGTGCATGTTGGCAATGTTACTGCCGTACTGCTGCTCGTAGCCGTTCTGGTACGCTCCTGTGGGGTTACCGCCGGCCCTGAAGCCGGCCTGCATGCCTGCAGCTGCAAAGCCGTTCCCAAAGGGAGTTCCATTGCTGAAACTCTGGGCGCTGTAAGCCCCGTTTTGGGTTTTTGCTCCGAAGTCTCTCTTGCCTAGCGCACCATAGGTTCTCTCAAAGTTCTCCCTCTCTCTAAAACTACTAAATCCACCCCTTTTGCCCGCAGAGTATCTGTCACGTCGGTCACCTCGGGAACGACCTAGTGAAAGAGACAAGACAGTTACGCGTATGGTAAAGGCTCTCCAGTTCAGCTAAGCAGCATTTATTTTCTGTCCCAGCAATTCAAACCTACTACAAAAGCTTTCCAGGTGCTTGTTGGACTTCAGTTAGATAAAGCTGTCTCCCTTTTGACAAGTCGTACACTCTCCCCCATAACACAAGTTGTGGCATATCAAGGCAAAAAGTGAATTTTGCCAGCAGGACACTTGGGTCCATCTCTCTTTCCAAGCCATAGGAAACAAAGTGTTTTATTTCAGGGCAAGTAATGAAGCACCTCTTTGGCCTGCTCTAGCTATAGGTGCACCACAGCACAGGCTGGGAGCACTTGGGTGCTGTTTTCTGGCTTTTGTATAAATAAACACCTTCTGAGGTCACAGTAACTTGGTAACTAAACCACCTTCCACATTTATTTTGAAGAGAGGCTGGAGGTGGAATCAGAAGTTTCCATTTTGTTCTGAGAGGAAAGCTATGCACTGAGATCAAGAACAGCCCTTACCTGAACCTCTGTCTTCAACCAGCTGAAGCAATTTGGGGTTGATGGCTTGATTAGCCTCCCGAAGCACAGAGATGAGGTCATTTACTTGCTTAATATTGTTAGGAGTAAAGAATGTGTATGCTGTGCCTGTTTTGGTACTGCGGGCAGTTCGTCCAATTCGGTGGATATAGTCCTCTGAGGAGTTAGGGTAGTCATAATTGATGACAAATTTCACATCTTCCACATCTGTAAAGTGTTGCAGTGTGGCAAAAAGCGAGGTACAAAGTTTTGCACACCACAACAGCCAAATCGAAGATAAACATTAGACAAGAGTATTTTAAAGGGAATAATGGCTGCAAAGAACAGTGTTAGAATCATCCATTTCTGCAAGAGCATAGTGGAAGAGAAAAGTTACGCACACTCCGTCTGATCCCGTTCTCATCACCCACCCTGTGAGCCAAAACCTTACCATAAGGAGTGTGCATTTGCTTGTCATTCCCAACTCAAGTGTCCCCTTTACAAATCATCAAGTGACATCTGAAAGCTTCTTGCAGTAGGGCCACTAAAGCTCACAGCAGCCTCTTCATGTGCTCATTTGAGGACCTTAGAGTAAAAACATACAAGGTCCTTCACATACACACTCATTAGAAGCTCAAAAAAAAGGGGCCACACTGCTCGTCTTGCCAAGACCTTTGAACTGCAGCTGCAAGAAAAACATACCTGTCCCCCCAAAGTCACCAAGTTGTTTTTATGCACTGTGTCTTGTCTAGGCAAGCGCTTCCAAGAAGCCAGGGTTCACTTGAGAATGGGTCTCTGGCAGGTCTCGACATGACGACTATGTATAGGTGGAGGAACTTCGACTTTCAAAGGCATTGAAAAGCCATTGCTTTCCTGCCCCACTTGTTAAAGTGAGAGGTGGACTTTTATTCTCAGATTTCATGTGCCAGTACTCACCAATTTGTACAAGGCTTAGTACATTTTAAAGCTGCTCTCTCCATTTCATGGTTGAAAAAAATTTCATTGAACATTGAAGTTTAAAATTATGTTCTTCAACATTTCAAAAAACTCACTGAAATTCAAAGACCACAGATCACAGCAGACAGTATGCACAAAACTAACAGTACTGCACCATGGCAAATCATGCAAAGCATGGAGAGAAGAGAAATACCAGGGCAAAGTGAACTGTGAATGAAACTGCTTATTT